CACCGCGCCGCGACGCGCGCGTCGCGGTCGTTTAGGGTCCTCAGCGCGCGTCGGCGCGCTCGCGTCCGCGCGCGACGCGGTCGTCGCGTCGCGCGTCGCGCGATTCCGTCGCCGCGCGCGTTCAGGGTTTCAGGGTTTTGGGCCTCGGCGTCTCGCTGCAGAGAGGGGGGGGACGTCGCCGCGCGCGGGAGGGACGCGCGCGCGCGCGCGACGCGAGGAAGCGCGCGCGGCGCGTCGCGAGACCTCCCGTCGCGCGTCGATTCCCCCCCCTCTCTGCAGCGAGACGCCGAGGCCCAAAACCCTGAAACCCTGAACGCGCGCGGCGACGGAATCGCGCGACGCGCGACGCGACGACCGCGTCGCGCGCCGACGCGAGCGCGCCGACGCGCGCTGAGGACCCTAAACGACCGCGACGCGCGCGTCGCGGCGCGGCGGACGACGCGAGGGGACGCGAACGGCGGGCGGGCGCGTCCGAGCGCGCACCGTCGCGGCGGAGTCCGAGCGAGTGTGCGCTCATGCCGGTCATCTCCGGGAGCGCGGCGACCGCGCGCGTCGGCGCCGCGCGCGGCGCGTTGGCGCGCGCGCGCACGCCGACCGTGGGCATGACAGTCTGAGCGGACATGACGAAGGCCATCGTGGACGATGGACGCGCGCCGTGTCTCGCGCGTGGGTCAATGACGTCTCGCGGCGTCCTCGAGCGAGTTCGTCCCGTCGTCGACGCTTCACGGGAAAAAGGCGCTGCTCGCTTTTTCGGCGGTAGTTTGTACGCGATCGTATGAGCAAACGCACTGAAACCCGCACACTTTCGCGTACGCACCGGATAAGATGACGTCCGCGCGACGTCGCCGTCGCCGTCGACATCGCGCGTCACTCGGAGGCGACACGAACGCGCGGACGCGACACGAACGCGCGCGATGTCCGTCTTCTCCGCATCCCGCGCGATCGCGCCCAGCGCGACCGCGACGTTCGCGGTCGACGCGCCGCGAGCGACGCGCCGCCGCGCGCCGCCGCGGTCGACGCGTCGCGTCGTCGCGCCCCGCGCGTCCGCGGCCGAGGGCGGAGGCGACGCGACGACGACGACGACGACGCCGCCGGAACCGCCGCGCGGCTCGGGGGACAGGCAGAAGGCGATCGTCGTCGGCGGCGGCGTCGGCGGCCTCGGCATGGCGTCGAGGCTCGCGCACGCGGGGTACGACGTCACGATCCTCGAGAAGAACCCCGACGTCGGCGGGCGATGCCGCAGCGAGTCCTTCGGCCCGGCGGACGGGCCCGACGGCTTTCGATTCGACACTGGGCCCTCGCTCATGCTCCTCCCGGACCGGTACCGCGAGCAGTTCACCGCGGTGGGAAAGAAGCTCGAGGATTACATGGACATAACGCGCGTGGACCCGGCGTACCGAGCGCACTTCGGCGACCACACGACGCTGGACCTGCTCTACGACACGGAGAAGATGCGGAAGCAACTCGACGACGTCGAGTTCGGCGCCGGCGGGCGGTACATCGACTGGCTCGGCCGCGCGCGCGCGTCGCTGGACTACGGCGTCGCCGCGTTCATCGAGAGAGACGCGAACTCGATCCTGGACTTCGTGGACCTCTCGCGCGTGGGCCCGCTCGCGCTCGCGGTGAACCCGATCGACCTGCTCCTGCCGCAGTTCAATCAGGCGCGTTCGTATTCACACTGGTCCCCATACGACCGCGTTCGCGTGGTGAACGCCGTTTCTTAAGGACTTTCTCTCCCGGCGCATCTCTCCGCCCACCCCTCGCTTTCAATCCCGACACACCTCGATGCCTTTCAACTCCGCTTCTGACGCCTTTCAACTCCACCCCGACGTTCGCTTGTATGGACAATTACCCTCAGATGGCGAAATATTTCAAAGACGAGCGCCTCCGTGCGCTGTTCTCGTACCAAGAGCTGTACGTCGGCCTGAGCCCGTACAACGCCCCCGGGGTGTTCTCGCTGCTCGCCGCGACCGAGCTCACGGACGGGGTGTGGTACCCGACCGGGGGCTTCGACCAAGTGCGAGGGAGTCTGCAAAAGCTCGCGGACGAGGAGGGCGCGGAGACGAGAGTCAACGCGGGCGTCGCCGCGATCCTCACCGAGCCGCTGGACGCGTCGACGCGCGCAAGCGAGGTGCCGGGGAGCAAGGCGACGCGACGCGTCGTCGGCGTGCGGCTCGAGAACGGGGAGACGATCGACGCGGACGTCGTCGTCGCGAACCCCGACCTCCCGTGCGTGTGGGAGCAGCTGATCGATCACGAGGAGTTCCCGGAGGCGAAGAGGGAGGCGGAGCGATGGGAGGACGCGGAGTACTCGTGCAGCGTCATCGAGTTCAACTTTTGCCTGGACGTCGTGATCCCGGACTTGTTGCATCACAACGTGTTCTTGTCGGGTGATTACAAGGGGAGCTGGGAGAGGCCGTGTTGCGTCGACGACTTCGCGGCGCCGCGGCAGCACAACTTTTACTGCCACAACCCCGTGTACACGGACAAGACGTGCGCGCCCGAGGGTAAGAGCAGCGTGATGATCTTGTTCCCGGTCGCGAACATGAACGAGCAGGCGAAGATGTGTAAGAAGCGCGGGATTCCCGTGCCGGAGGAGGCGGACATGGTGAACGCCGCGCGAGAGGCGATCTTCCGCCGGTTTAAAGAAGCCGGGCACGGAGACCTCGCGGCGCACGTCGAGCACGAGAGCGTGACGACGCCGTCGGAGTGGAAGCAGAAGTTTAACATCAAGCACGGCGCGGTGTTTGGGTTATCGCACGGGTTGACGCAGCTCGCGGCGTTCCGACCGCCGGTGCGGACGGGCATCGCGCCGTTGGATTCGCCCGAGTGCGACGGGTTACACTTCGTCGGCGCGAGCACGCGGCCGGGGAACGGCGTGCCGCTGGTGTTGATGGGCGTGAAGGTGGTGTACGACGCGATCATCGCGCAGCACGGCGTCGGCGCGAAGGCGAAAGCGAAGGCGATGTGAGGCAACTTGAGAAGACGATTTGAACGATTTGAACGTGATTTTTTTGACGCGCGACGCCGCGACAACGCCGCGACGCGAGATACCTCCTCTCATCAGAACGGGAGATCGTCCGCCATGTTGACCGTCACCTTCGTTCCCCCCGACTTCGCCGTCGCGGGCTGCCCCAGCTTCGGGCACCCCGCGCATCGAAACGCGTCCCCCAAGTCGCAGTTCCCGCACGCGCTCTTAAAGTTCTTCTTCTCCTCCTCCGTGAGTTCCTTCTTCGGCGCGGATCCAGATCCCTCCCCTCCCGCGTCGCCATCGCCCGCCGCCTCCATCTCCGCGCGGCCGCACGAGCAGTTCTTGCACGCCTTCGCGGACGTGCTGCAGTCCCCCGCCGCTTTCGCGGCGGCGGCGGCGTCCGCGCCGGCGCGCAGCTCGTCCTCGTCGAGGAGCGCGTCCTCGTCCATCAGTTCGTCGGCGTCCTCCGCGGCGATTTTCCACGCGTCGCCCGCCGCGCCGTTCGCCGTCGCCCTCGCGTCGTTCCCCGGCCCGACGTTCTCCTTCTGCTTCCGCGTCTTCAGCGCGAACGCCGCGCCGGGTTTCCACGTCGGCTTCGTCGCGACGACGACGCCGGAGACGGCGTCGACGACGGCGTCGGCGAACCCGGCGACGATGAGATCTTCGCGCGACGGCGCGCCGAAACGCGTCGCGCCGCCTCCCGCCAGCGCGCCTCCCGCGCGCAGCGTGCCCCCCGGCGCGAGCGTCGTCAAGAGCGTCGCGATGACGTCGGGGGTGTGCCACCCGGGCGGGGTGTTGACCGTCGCGATCGCGGACGCGCACCCGGGCGCGCTGAAGCCGTCGAGCGCGGAGAGGAGGTGCGCGCGCGCGGGATCTAAGCCGTGCGCGGTCACCGCGGCGGAGATCGCGGCGAACGGCTCCGCGGAGAGGGTGGGGATGACGAGGAGGTGCTTCCCGGTCGTCGTCATCGCGAGAGACGCGCGTGCGTGGGGCGACGGCGCGCGAGCGAGCGGCGGGGCGCTCGAGTGAGAGATCTGGGCGGCGCCCCACCGCCACCCGTCGAGAGACGAGTTGCCCTAAATAAGTAGTCGCGCTCATGGTAGACTAATTGCTCATATGAGGTACGCAGTACGAAAAGACCTACGTATGAGCAATTAGTATCGTTGGATGTCGTACTTTCGTACTCGTCAGGCGACGATGGACCGATACGAGTTTACGACCGTTACCGCTTCCGAGGCGACGAGGCCGCGCCCTCCCTCGTCGTCGTCGCGCGCGCAGAGACCCGGGCGCGATGGCTCGCAAGTTCCTCGTCGAGAGCGACGAGGACGAACCCGAGGCCGCGCCCGCGGAGGACGTCCCGGACCCGGACGAGCCGGAGTACGAGGAGGGCGCGACCAACTACCACGCGCTCGCGCGGCGTCTGCGGACGACGGCGACGGACGAGGATGCGTTGACGCGAATCGCGACCGCGTGCGACGAGGTGCGCGGCGGGATCGACCCGAGGGACGCGGACGCCGTCGCCGCCGCGTCCGAGCGCGGGATCCTGGACGCGCTCTTCGCGCTGATACGCGAGCGGCCGCCGCCGATTCCGGGACGGCGGCGCGCCGCGGACGGCGACGGCGGCGGCGACGAGAACGCCGCGCCCGAAGAGGATGGCGGCGACGACGACGCGGCGCTGACGCCCGCGCAGCTCCGGGCGAGAGAGCGCCTGAGGGCGCGGCACGCGCGGTACGACGCGATCGTCCTCCCGGCGACGCGCGCGATCGCGCACCTGGTGTCCGTCCCGGGACCGCTGCGAAGAGAGGTCGCCGCCGCGGTCTTCTACACCCGCGCGCTCTGGGAGCTCGTGAACCCGAGCCTAGACGACGACCTGGACGACGACGTCGACGTCGACGACGTCGTCGTCCTCGACGACACCGCGAAGTTGACGACGTCGTCGTCGTTCAACGACACCGCCAGACCGAAGACGACGACGACGACGTCGTCGACCGCGCGCAAAGGCAAAGGCGGCATCCCGCCGCCCCCGCCGCCGAAGCACCTCCCCCTCCCCGCTCCCGCGGTGGAAGCAGCGTTGCGATGTCTCCTCTACGTCGCCGCCGGCTCGTCCTACGCCGCGAGCGTCTTCGCGGGGAACTTCGCCGGCGCGGACGACGTCCTCGGCCCCACCGCGCGGTGGATAACGCATCACATGCGAGACGCGAAGAGCGACGGCGTCGCGCTGAAGGCGACGCGGCTGCTTTGCGCGATGGCGCGGACGTCGAGCGATCGCGCGCTGGTCTTCGGCGGCGCCGTCGCGACGCCGGGGCGCGAGGACGACGCGTTCGGCGTCGCCGTATCGAGGGCGCGTCACGCGGAGAGCGCCGTCGGGATACGGCGCGCGTGCGTGCGGTTGATCGCGCTCGCTACGTCGGACGCGGGGGAGGCGCTGGAGCGGACGCTGCGGGGGTCGTGCGGCGCCGCGTTCGGCGGTGAGGTGCGTTCTCCTTACACTGGTCCCCATACGACCACGTTGGCGTGGTGAACGCCGATCCTTAAGGACTTCGCCCGGCGCATCTCTCCGCCCATCCCTCGCTTTCAATCCCCGCCCTCGGCGCCTTTCAACTCCACCTGACGCCTTTCAACTCCATCCCGACATTCGCTTGTATAGAACGGCCCTGAGAAGGCGAGCGGCGGCGGCGGCGGCGGCGGCGGCGGCGTCGGCGACGACAACTCGCCGCTGACGGCGCTGTGCCATCTGATGTTCGGCGATCACGCGCTCGACCTCAGGGTGGACGCCGCGCGGACGCTCGCGTCGCTGTGTCGCGAGCACGTGGAGATCGCGCGCGAGCTCGGCGAGCGCGACGTCCTCGACGCGCTGAGGTGCGTTCTATGTCATCACACTGGTTCCCATACGACCGCGTCGGCGCGGTGAACGCTGATCCTTAAGGACTTTCTCTCCCGGCGTTCGTCTCTCTCCGCCCACCCCTTCGCTTTCGATTCCGACACACCGCGACGAAGGCCTTTCAACTCCGAATCTGACGCCTTTCAACTCCACCCCGACGCCTTTCAACTCCACCCTCGACCGCGAGGCCGCTGGTGCCACCGCTGACGGACGCGGCGCCGACGCCGCCCCCCGAGGAGGGCGAGGAGGAGGAGGAGGAGGCGGTCGACGCGAACGACGACGAGAGCGACGTGAGCGTCGAGGGCGAGAACATCCTCACGGACGCGTTCGGCGTTCGCGGCGTCGGATACATCTCCCCTCCGCCGAAACCGCGGCGCGCGACGCCGCGGCGCGCCGACGCGTTGGCGCCGGCGGCGCCGCCGCCGCCGCCGCCGCCGGCGGACGGCGACGGAGGCGACGCGGCTCCCCCCAAGCTCCCGACGCCGCCCCCTCGCGACGGCGCCGCGGAGTTGTTCCCCGTCGCGCTCGAGCTCGCGGCGGCGATCGCGGAGAACCACCCGGAGGCGCGTCTGAACGAATCGCGTCGGTGCGGATGGCTTTTGTCCTACGTCGCGAAAGTCGGCAAACTCCCCCCCGCGGACGAGGACGACCTGTGGACGTGGACGAAGGCGTGCGTGATGACGTTACGGGACGCCGCGCCCGCGCCGGAGCCGGAGCCGGAGCCGGAGCCGGAGCCGGAGCCGGCGGAGGGCGACGAAGCCGCGGCGGAGGAAGAGAAGGCGAAGGACCCGGATCCGGACCCGGACCCCGACGCGCCGCCGCCGGAGACGGATGAGGAGAAAGCCGCGAGGCTCGAAAAGGCGCGCGAGAGACGCGCGGCGCAGAATGCGCTGCACCTCGAGGACGCGAAGTGGCACAACGACGCCACGAGACGCGCGGCGTTGGGGCTTCTGCGCGCGCTGTCGATCGAGCGACCGGTGCGGAGGCTCGTCGTGTCGACCGAGTTGTCCAATCACCCGGCGGCGCTGACGAAGGCGCGTTCTATACACTGGTCCCCATACAACCGCGTCGGCGTGGTGAACGCCGATCCTTAAGGACTTTTCCCGGCGCATCTCTCCGCCTACCCCTCGGTTTCAATCCCCGCCCGCGACGCCTTTCAACTCCACCTGACGCCTTCGAACTCCACCCCGACAATCGCTCGTATGGAACGACCCGAAGATCATCGCCGCGGTGCCGTCGTGTTTCCACACGATCGAGGAGGGCGCGGCGTGGATACACCGTCTGTGCGAGCGCGGGATGGACGCGGCCGACGGCGGCGACGCGCTGTTGAAGATGGGGCTGATCGAGAAGCTCAAAGACGTCGCCAGGGCGGTTGCGAACGCGGACGCCGTCGCCGCCGCGTCGACGACGGCGGCGGCGGCGGCGCACGAGGCTGCGCTGATGTGCTTCCCCCCCGAGGACTTTCTCCCGGAGCTGCCGCCTTTACCGAAGATACCGACGACGCCGTCGCCGCCAAAGGCGAGGTGGCCGGGGACGTGGCGCGATGTCATGACGCGGAACGAACCCACGGTGCTTCCGTTGCACGCCGTCGTCCCGGAGATTTGGAGGTTTCGCGTCCGCGCCGACGACGGGGCGTGGCGAAACCTCGAGGGCGACGAGCTGTCCGACGCGCTCAAGGCTGTCCTCGACGCCGCGCTCACCCCGGAGGCGCTCGAGCAGCTCACGGTGGAGCCGCCGAGTTTAGTCGAGGAAGAGACGGGAACGGACGTCGCGTTCTACGAGAAGGGTCAGGAGCGCCGCGGGTGCCGAAATCTCGAGACGAAATCCGTCCCCGCGGAGGAGACGCTTCCGCTCGCGTCGACGAGAACGTTCCCGCCGCCGTGCGCGTACGCGGGCCTGCGATTCGCGCTCCTCGCGCTGGGTGACCCGGCGTACGAGGAAGCGTTCGCGCCCAAGCCGAGAGAGGGTACGGAGGAAGGAGACGCGGAGGGCGACGCGGCGGCGGAGACTCTGATCGAGCCGGAGCCCCGAGACGCGTGGGGCTCGGACGCGCTGAAGTCGGCGCTCGCGCCGGAGGGAGAGCTGGCGAGGCGGCTGACCGAGTTCGTGTGGGCGGAGCGACCGCCCGTGAGGGAGGCTGCTCCCGGCGCGGAGGAAGACCCTAACGCGGAGGACGCGGAGGACGCGTCGCCGCCGAGGCCCGGGATCGAGACGGCGGAGGTGCGTTCTCCTTACACTGGTTCCCATACGACCGCGTTCGCGTGGTGAACGCCGATCCTTAAGGACGTTTCCCGGCGCATCTCTCCGCCCACCCCTCGCTTTCAATACCCGCCCTCGGCGCCTTTCAACTCCGTCTGACGCCTTTCAACTCCACCCCGACGTTCGCTCGTTTACAGGATGACAGACTCGCCGCGATCGTCGCCGCGCGCGTCGGGTTGCGACGCGTCTACGTGAAGGACGCGGAGGCGGAGAGCGAGATATCCGCGGCGCTCGTGAAGTGGGCGTACACGATGTGTCGGCGCGCGGAGGAGATCGTCGCGGAGAGGGCGGCGGCGGCGGCGAGCGCGGACGGAGGAGGAGAGGCGTCGTAGCGGCGAGCGAAAGCAATGGCGGTTTTTCGCGGCGGCGCGGTCAACGTCTGGTTCAGTCGTTCGTTCATCGCGGCGAGTTCGTCGATCAGATCTTCAATTTTAGGTTTCAATTTTCAGCGCGAGCTCCTTTCGGCTTGACAATCATCCTTCATTGTGGTCAGCGCGGTCGCTCGACGCGCGTCCCCTGGCTCGATGGGGGGCGGCGCTTCGAAGAGCAAGCCGACGGGCGGCGACGCCGCGCCGTCGCCGTCGCCGTCGTCGCGTCCCTCGACGGCGACGTCCCGGCCGCCGCCGTCGAGGAACGCGTCGATCGTGTCGATGTCGGACGGGAATTCCCCGGCGGACGCGCGCGCCGAAAGGTCCGCGGTCGACGACGACGAGAGCGCGTCGCCGCCGTGGGGCGACGACGTCGACGTCCTCGCGCGCGCGCCCGCGGCGTCCCGACTCGCCGCGGCGGCCGCGCCGTCGTCGTCCGGGGGCGCGGCGACGCCTCCGCGCGCCGCCGCGGCCGCGTCTCGCGCGGCGCGTCGGGGCGTCGTAAAATCCGCGACGACGACGACGACGAATGATACTAATCCGTCGAATCCGCCGTCGGCGTCGTCCCTTCGCGCGCTGCCGCGGCGCGCGCCGGGCGCGCCGCCGCCGCCGCCCCCGCGCGACCCCGACGAGCTCCGCGTCGAAGCGCGGCTTCACGCCGTCGCGGGCCGCCTCGCGGAGTCCTCGCGCCACTACGACCTCGCGCTGGAGCGTCAGATGGAGCTGCGCGGCGGCTCCGCGAATCACCCCGACTGCGTTCGCGCGCTCAAAGACGCCGCGGACGCGTACGTGCGCGAGTACACGAGCGAGGGCGCGCTGGACGACGCGCCGCGGCGCGAGCGGGCCTTACACGCGGCGCGCGTCGCGATCGAGCGCGCGAAGGCGCACTGCGCGGCGACGTCGGCCGTACACGGCGAAGGCTCCGCGGAGAGCGCGGCGGCGTTGTGCGCGCTCGCGAGGGTCTACGCGACGCAGGGCGCGGTGGAAAGGGCGGAGGTCGTGTACGACTTCGCGAGCGGTGGCGGCGATGGCGACGATTCGAATGGCGACGGTTCGAGTAATCCGAATCGTCGCGACGGTTCGCGTCCGAACGTGCTGACGTCGGCGTGGGCGCCCGGCGTCGTCGACGCGTTGCTCGACGCGGCGCGGACGTACGCGTCGCGACCGGCGCGCGACGACGCGGTGATGCGCTTCATCGACCGCGCGTGGGCGTGCGAGCTCGAGAGGCTCGTGCGCGAGCCCCTGCAATCGGTAAAAGGGTCGGACAAAGGCGTGTCGGAGAAAGGCGTGTCGGAGAAGAACACCAACGCGCTGGACGCCATCGACGCGGCGTACCGGGAGATTTTCAAAACCGTCCGCGACGACGTCGAGCTGGAGGCGTTGGCGTTCGCGGGGATCGAGGACCCGCCCGAGGAGGTTCTTCCCGCGTACGGCGCGCGACCCGGGCGCGCGCGAGACGCGCTCAGGGTGTTGGACGACGCCGTGGACGCCGAGCTCGGGAAGTTCGCGGTGCGGAAAGCGGAGAAGGTGATGATTCGAACGGCGACGATTCGAATGGCGAGGGCGAGGGGATTTGACTCTTCCTCGGAGGAAGACGAAGGGGAAGGGGAAGCGCGGGCGATAGCTCACGACGACGGCGTCGTCGTCGACGAGGTCGTCGTCGTCGACGACGGCGGCGGCGACCGCCTGGACGAGCTCGACGGGTACTTCGCGAAACTCTTCGGCGAGGACGGCGCCATGCGCGTCGCGTCGTTGCACCGCGTCGCCGTCGCGCATCGAGACGCCAAACGAGCCGCGCGCGCGCTCGTCACCTGGGGCAAAGTCATGGTCGCGAAGGGCGACATGGGAAACATAGAAACGCCCGCGGTGCTGGCGTTTCGTAAAGCCGCCGCGTCGGTGTGGTTACGCGAAGACGCGGCCGTCGTCGAGCGATGCGCGCGCGACCTCGCCGGCGTGCTCGGGACGGACCACCCGGAGTACCACGCCGCGTTGCGACGCGCGGCGGCGGCGTGCGTGAAGCGACGCGACCGCCCCGCGGCGTTGCGCGTCACAGAGACGCTCGTGGACGTCGTCGGCGCGACGTTGGGGACGGACAGCGACGCGTACGCGGCGTCCGCGTCCGACGCGGCGGCGATTCGCGCGAGGATCGAGTTCGCGAAGACGGAGGGACGACGGGAGGAGGATAAGGCGCGTTCTATACACTGGTCCCCATACGACCCCGTCGGCGTGGTGAACGCCGTTCCTTAAGGACTTCGCCCGGCGCATCTCTCCGCCCACCCCTCGCTGCTTTCAATCCCCGCCCTCGACGCCTTTCAACTCCAACTGACGCCTATGATCTCCACCCCGACGTTCGCTCGTATGGAACGGCCCTAAGGTCGCCGAGCGCGAAAATCGGCTGCGACGGGCGCGGGAGGAAGACGCCGCCGCGGCGCGAATACAGGCGATCATCCGCGGGAGAAAGGCGCGCGAGGAAGCCGCCGCGCGCAAGGAGGAGCGCGACCGGCTTCGAGCGATCGAGGAGGAGGAGCGTCGGCGACTGGAAGCGCTCGAGCGCGAGCGCGAGGAAGCCGCCGCGAGGCGGGCGGAGGAGGACGCGGCGGCGGCGGGGGGGGATGCGGCCGAGACCCGCGCCGCCGAGGCATCCGCACTCCCCGGCGGCGGCGGGCGAGGGCGATCCTCCTGGACGTCCGCGCCGGTGCCTCAGCCGCTGCCGCCGCGTCGGTCAACGACGCGGGAGTCCGCGCGAGAGTGGGACGCGCCCGCGTTGAGAGCGTTGCGGGCGTTCAACGCGGCGGCGGCGGGGGAGGGGCCCGAGGCGACGGGCGGCGGCGGCGGCGGCGTCGACGGGAGGAGGACGGAGGGCGAGATCGCGCCGGCGGGGGCGTGACGCTTCCGCTTCCGCTTCCGTCCGCGGGACTAGGTCTACGACTACCTTCGTATAACTATAGCTAACCTTACGTCACATCGCGACCGACGACTCGACGCGTCTCACGTCGGATCAGAATCAGAAGACGCCTCGCCCCGCGGTCGGACCCCACAGCCTCGCCACGCCGTCCGTCCCGCACGTCGCCATCGCGTCCTTCGTGGGATGCATCGCGAGCGACACGCACGCCTTCCCCGGGTGTGCGTCTATCGTCGCCGCGATGTTCGCCTCGACGAGGTCCCAGAACACCACCTTGCCGTCCTCCGAGCCGCTCGCGACGTGCGAGTCGTCGCGCGTGAGCCGCGACTCGACGGACACTGAGGGCCGTTGAAAGGCGTCAGATGTGGAGTCGAAAGGCGTCGAGGGCGGGGATTGAAAGCGAGGGACCCTGGGCGGAGAGAAACGCCGGGCAAAGGCCTTAAGGATCGGCGTTCACCACGCCAACGCGGTCGTATGGGGACCAGTGTGAATACGAACGCGCCTTCGTCGTGGACGTGCCCGCGGTACTCCGCCAAGACGTCGCCGTCGCCGCGGTCGAGCAGCACGCACCGCCCGCCCAGGACGCTGAGGAGGAAGCACCGCTCGTCGCCGCTCGCGCGCACGCTCGTGATCGGGTGCTCGCTCCCCAGCGCGTCGGCGGTGGCGCGACCGGCGCGGAGATCCATCGTGCGGATCGATCCGTCGACGCTCGCGGCGGTGACGCAATGATTTCGCGTGATCGCGAGGCTCGTCACGGAGTCTTTCCACGCGCAGACGCTCTGGATCGCGTCGATGCTGTTGGACCGCACGTCCCAGAACTTGACCGCGCGATCGTACCCGGCGGAGACGACGACCTGATCGTCCGCGGCGAAGGATACCGCGTTGACGGCGGCGTCGTGCCCGCGGAAACGTCGAATCTTTTGCCCCGTCGCGACGTCCCACAAAAACACCTGCTTGTCGCCCCCGCCCGTGGTCATCTTCGCGTTGTCTCGCGCGCACGACACGTCCCTGACCTCGTGCGCGTGCCCGGTGTACGTCTTGATCAGCGCGCCCTTGAACGGGTTCCAGAGCCGAAACGTTCGATCTTTGCCGCACGTCAGGAGGTACGCGCCGCTGACGCTGAGGGCCGTTCCATACAAAAACAGTTCTCCGGTCAGTTGAAAGGGGACGCGATCAAATGTTGAAACCGGACAATGGGTGAAAAACGTTTGTATAGAACGCACCTGAATCGCACCGCGAGGATCGGCCCCTCGTGCGCGCCTCCCATCGTCGCGTGGAGCTCGGTCGGGAGGGCGCGGGAGGCGGGGGACGGGCCGGCGACGCCGCCGCGATCGCCGCGCGGCGCGGGGCCCATCATCGTCGCGGCGTCGTCGTGGGGGGGCGCGCGCGGCGCGAGGAGATCTGATGCTGGCGCAGCGGGGAGATGGATTTCTGGCGAGTGCCGACGATGCCGTGTCGCACAACGACAGATTATTTGCTCTCTCTTCTCGGACCGTCCGCGCGCACAACGGACGTCATGGCCGGCCACTCGTGGCGGTCGCTGCTCTTCGGCGTCGAGGGATGGCGGCACTTCCTCAAGTCCGGGTACGCCGCGCGCGCGAAGCACTTCGACGACGCGCCGTTCGCGAGAGATCTCCGCGGCACGCACGTCGTCGTCACCGGCGCGAACCAGGGCATCGGATTCCAGGTCGCGAAGCAGCTCGCGATGCAGCGCGCGTCCGTGCACATGGTGTGCCGGAGCGAGGAGCGCGGGGAAAAGGCGCTGAGAGCGCTCAAGGAGGAGGTCGCGGCCGCGAACGCGGACGGCTCGCCGCCGGACGTCACCCTCGACGTGTGCGACGTCAGCGACGCGAAGGCCGTCCGCGCGTTCGCGAGGTGCGTTCTATCTCACACTGGTCCCCATACGACCGCGTCGGCGTGGTGAACGCCGTTCCTTAAGGACTTTGCCCGGCGTGTCTCTCCGCCCATCCAACGCGTTCAATCCCCGCCCTCGACGCCTTTCAACTCCACCTGACGCCTTTGAACTCCACCCCGACAGGGCGTATGTCGAGAGCGGACGACCGCTGCACTGTCTCGTGAACAACGCGGGATGCATGGTGCACGAGCGGACGCTGACCCCAGAGGGCGTGGAGACGAACTTCGCGACGAACACGCTCGGGACGTACGCGCTCACGGAGGGGCTGCTGCCGTCGTTGGAGCGGACGGCGGCGAGGGAGAAGGCGCGTGATGATCCATCCTTTCGTCAGCGCCGGTCCCCGTTCCTCAGCTGCGTGAGGACTTCGCCCGCCCGGCGTCTGCGTTTCTCTCCGCGCGCCCGCGCCTCGCTTTCGATCTATTACAGACAGACCGCGCCGCCTTTCAACTCCGACCGACGCCGTTCAATTCGACCCTCCCTCAGACGCACGCGCGGGTGATCGCGGTGAGCAGCGCGGGGATGTTGACGGAGAAACTCGAGTCGCGCGACGTCGAGGCGTCGACGTCGAAATCGTTCGACGGCACGCGGCAGTACGCCAAGGGAAAGCGGCACCAGGTCGCGCTCACAGAGCGGTGGGCGCGACTCGCGGTCGCGAAGTGCGGCGGCGTCGGACCTCCCGCGGACGGGAGCGGCGCGGTCGGGTTTTACGCGATGCACCCGGGTTGGTGCGACACCGACGCGGTGAAGGTCGCGCTGCCGGGGTTTTACGAGCGGCTGAAGGGGAAGCTTCGATCGCCGCGGGAGGGCGCGGACACGGCCGCGTGGCTCTGCGTCGCCCCCGCGGAAACGCTCGTCTCCGGGGAGTTTTATCTCGACAGGGCGGTGGTCCCCAAGCACGTCTGGTCGGGGTCGTGGTTCGGGACGACGTATTCGGACGCGGAGGTGGACGCGCTGGCGGAGAAGCTCGAGGCGCGGCTGCGAGAGGCGCTGTCCGCGCGGCGGTGAGGTGACGGATGCGGATGGATCTGATGGATAAATCTCCGTTTATAGTAAAGGATATTTCTGAGAAATAACTACTGTAGCTACGTCGTCGTCGTTTCGTAACCTGCTGAAACGGCCGCGGACTGTCCGTTTCGGTGTCTTACGAGTGGTTTCCGGACCGCCTCTTCCAAGCCGCGGCGAAGCGATCGCGCCGCGAGAAACGCGAAGAACGCGGCGCCCGCGCCCGCGGCGAACAGCCGCGCCCCGGGCGTCGACGCGAGCGCGAGCGCGTCGCCCGCGTCGCCGCCACCGGCTCTTCCGAGGAGGGCGTCGTCTTCTTCCAGCCCGAGAAGACTCGCGCTCGCGCTCGCGTTCGCGCCACTCCGGTCGAGATCGAAATCGCCGAGACTCGACGATCCGTTTTGATAGATCACCGTCGTCGACGGCGGCGACGGCGGCGGCACGTACGTCCCCGACGCCTTCTGCACCCACATCGTGACGTAGGCTGAGAAAAAGTCGTTCGCGAACATCACCGCGAGGTACCCCGCGCCGCCGGTGCACGCCATGCAGATGGTGATGATGAGGAACTTCCGCATGAACTCGGGGCCCAAGATGGTCGCGAGCGCGCCGAGAGGATCGAGCAGGGAGAGCTTCTTGCGAATCGGCTCTGGCAGCTCCGGGTCTCGGTTCGGCTGGTTCCGCCCCTTCCCAACCGGGCGAATCTCCGCGCGCGAGACGGGCAGCATGTCTATCCTGATTTCGACCTCGCCCTGCTTCACCGCGCCCTTGGAAGGGTGATACAGAGGGACCCAAACGCCGCTGTCCGCGCCGTCGAGCAGAGCGCTTAAGCCGCCGGCGAGGAAAGAGCCGCTCGTCTTGAGGCTCATCTCCACCGCGGCTTTCGGCGACAGCACGCCCTCCGGAGAGTTCCTCACGAGCCGCATCAAGTCCTGGCACATCGACGTGAGCGGGATCACCGCCTCGCCGATGCTGTCCGTGCTGATGATCATGTCTCGGTCGAACGCGCTGATCCTGAGCTTCGCTTTCAGCACGGGCAGCGTGAACCGATAGACGAGCCTGTAGTTGAACGACGCCTTGTGCTCGTCGGAGAAGTAGTGCGTGTCAGTCTCGCGCGTCTCGCTGAAACGCGTCTGCTTGTGGTCGATGCCGACGAGCCCGCACTTCACGAACGCGTCGTTGGTGCCGCCGAAGTCTTTGTTCACGAGACCGCGCGCTTTAAACACGCACACGCGCATCTCGACCTCGATCACCTCGGGGGGCTTCACGTCGAAGAGTCGCGGGATCGCGCCGTCTTCTTCGAATATCTCCACAAACAACTCCACGAGGCCTTGGCTCCCGGTCGCGGTCGGGTGCGATAAGCGCCGCATCTCGAGCGGAGGCAGCGCCGCGAAGTCCGCGTTCCACTTGTCCGAGAACCATCGGTCCTCCAAGTCGATCGTCGTGCTTCCGATGAGGTCGTCTTTTCCGCCCTTGTCGTAGTCTAAAACCTTGCAAACCATCTGCGACGGGCCGGGGAGCTCGGTCTGGAACTCGTACGTCTTGTAGAACCACGGCGCGAGCGTCTCCTTGACGTGGTCCTTGAACGAGCCGTACGATTTCTTCGTGCCCTCGAGCTCGATGCGGACGTACGGGTCGCAGAGGCCGCTCAGATCGAGCGGCCGCATGTTTTTCCCGCGGATGATCGTCGTCCGCACGGTGATCCGGCTGGAATCCATCTGACCGGAGACGAGCCGCTGGAGGTCCGCGAAGTCTTCCTTCTTGACCGACGCCATCGACTCGACCGGGACGAACTTCGAATCTTCGCGCATGAGCGCGCGCATTTCGCGCTGTTTTTTAGCCTTCAGCACGTTCACTTTCCCCAACGCCTTCGTCGCGGCGCCCTTAAATTTCTTCAACCCCCTCGCCGCGTCGAGGGGCTCGTCGTCGAGGAGCTCGTCGTGCGCCTCGCGCTCGGACAGCGGCACGACCCTGACCGCGAACTTGACCTTCCCGCCCTCGACTCTGTGCGCGCTGTGCTCGACGAACCCGCCTCGACCGCTGCGGTAAATCGGAATCGTGATAAACGGCAGCGGCTGCATGTGATCCTCGAGCGTGCCGCCGTCGGCGCCCGTCGCGATCATCCGTCCGATCATAAACTCCGGGAGCTCCCCGGTGCCGTCGTCGAACGTGGGCTGGTCGTCGAACTCGTCGCCCGCGCCGCCGGTGCGCTCTCGCGCCGCGAGCTCGGCCTCGACCTCGGCGCGTTGTTTCGCCGCTTTTTCTTCTCGGAGACGCTCGTTCTCCGCGTCGCCCGCCATCGAGTCGCGGTCGTCGTCCGTGGAGAACTCGTCCGTGGATGTCCCGAGCGAGTCCGCCGCGGTGCCGTCGTCGCCGGAGTCGCCCTCTTCCGCGAGCGTCTCCAGCGGGTGGGTCTTCTTCGAACGGCTTTTGGACGCGCTCTTCGAACGCCTCGCGCTCGCTTTGGAGCTCCGCACGCCGGCGCTCTTGGAGCCGTCGCCCTTGCTCGCCCGCTCCCGCGTCCCCGCGAGCGTCGTGTTCTTCGACTTCGTCGCGGAGGATCGCGCTCTCACGTACCGCCGCCCGCTTCCCTTCCTCGACAACGACCGCGCCGCCTCCATCTCGTGCGCGGATACCCCAAACTCGACGTCGTCGCCGGATTCCCTGTCCGAGTACCCGTCCGACGCGTCGTAGTCGTCGCCGCTTCGCTGACTCTTCCCCCCCGAGCTGAACACGTAGGCGAGCTTCTGCGAAACGCGCTTTCGAAACGACTTCCGCTTTTCCGCTCTCTTCGAGCTCTCCGCGGACGGCCGGTCCTCCTCCTCCCCCGGGCGCGCGTCGTCGATCGACCTCGAGAACATCCCAAAGTCGTCGTCGTTCACGTAGCTCCCGCGCGCGCCGGCGCCGTGCGACTCCCTCTCTCCGGCGTCGCTGCCCGCGGCTTCGGTCTCGGACGAAGAATTTCCACCCCCGCCCGACGTCGTGCTCTCCGCGTCCTCCGCGCCGCCCTCCGACTCCGGGTCGTTCCATACAAGCGAACGTCGGGGTGGAGTTCAAAGGCGTCAGAGGTGGAGTTGAAAGGCATCGAGGGCGGGGATTGAAAGCGAGGGACCCTGGGCGGAGAGATGCGCCGGGAAAAGTCCTTAAGGATCGGCGTTCACCACGCGAACGCGGTCGTATGGGAACCAGTGTATAGAACGCACCTCCGTCTCCGACATCCCCGAGAACAGCGCGTCGACGTTGCCGTCGCCCTGCCCTTTCGCCTTGGCGGGCCTGAGCTTCTTCAAGCGGCGCTTCTTGCCCTTGTTCCCGCGCTTGGTCGGGTCGCTCGGGTCGTCGTCGTCGTCCTCCTCCTCCCTGAGTTTCAGGCGGTACTCGCCGGTGCCGACGACTCTGTGAAACGGCACGCGGTCGATGACGCGCACCGCGAGCGCGAGCTCGATCATCTCTAGCGCGTGCACGCGCCCGCGCAGCCGCAACATCTGACCGCCGTAATTCGCGTTGCTCCCCGACGGGCTCGAGCTGTGCTTCGAGCGCTGCGTCGTGAACGGCGACCCGGGGAACAGAGGCAGCGCGCCGGTGAGCTCTACCTCGATGCACGGGTTCATCACCGGCAAGCCTCGAAACGCGTCCATGCCGCGGCAGCCGAGGAGCAAGACTTGCACCTCCACGGGCGCGGACCCGAAGACGTCGCCGAGCTCGCGGACGATGTTGACGTGCTTGGGCGTCCTCGGTTCCGGGAGTCCCGCGTAGGCGTAGACGCCCTCCGCGGGGACCTCTTTCACGGTGTAGTGGAGTAAAATTTGCCCCCCCGGTCGCACGCCGATGCCGCCGCCGCGCGTCGGATTCAACTGCTTCATCCCGCGCCACTCCGGCTCCAACAGCCCAACCTGATACTGCGACAGGTCCGTGAACTGGTTAGGCACGACGTCTTCCACCTGCGACAGCGAGATGTCCGTGTACGCGCTCGCGCTCGACGCGAGCGTGCTCCGCCCGTCGATCTGCCCCGGCCCCGCGCGCCCGCGCCCCGCCGTCGGGCGCAGCAGCGGCAGCGAGATCACCGCGAGGGGGTCCGCGGTGGTGATCAACCCCCGCGCGTGCTCGTCCTCGTCCAAGACGACGATCGTCATCGCGGGCGCGGCCCACCACGCGATGCCCTCGAACCCGCCGATGTGCCCCCTCTGGCCGGGCCCGATGCCGAGCGCGCCGGCTTGCCCGAGCGTCATGACGTCGTTCTGAGGGTCGAGGTCCGCGGTGCGAAGCGACGTCGGGGTGGAGTTCAGGGGCGCGTCAGGTGGAGTCGAAAGGCGTCGCGGTGCGTCGGGATCGAAACCGTGGGGTGAGCGGACAGAAAAGACACGACGGGAGAGAAAGTCCTCGAGGAACGGCGTTCACCGCGCCGACGCGGTCGCACGGGGACCGGCGTGAGGAGAACGCGCCTTCGTCTTGCTCTTGTTCTTGACCTTCTTCCCGCTCGCGTCCACCTCGCCGGACGCTTGCAACACCGCGAACGGGTCCTCCTCCTCGTCGACGTCGTCCTCGGAGTCGGACTCCTCGTTCTCGATGCCCAAGTCCGGGCCGTCCCCTCCTCCGTCGCCGTCCGCGTCTCCGTCCTCCTCCGGGTTCAAACCCCTGAGCTTCTTCCGCTTCTTCTCCTTCTTCGGGGGAGGAATCAACGGCAAGTCAACCTCCATGAGCACCTCTCTGAACCACCCGGGCGACGTCGTGCTCTTGCACACCTGCGTCTTCGCCTGGTTCCGTCCGCATCGAACGACCGCGTACGGGTCCGAGCTCCCCTGCGAGTCCGCCGCGGGCAAGTCCTTCGCCTGGTACAGGTGCACCTGGAGCATGTACTTTCGCGTCGGCAACGGCGGGATGGTCTGCGGGTCGTTCCATCGTTCAAAGCGACGTCGGGGTGAAGTTGAAAGGCGTCAGTTAAAGTCGAAAGGCATCGAGGTGTGTCGGGATTAAAACCGTGGCGTGAGCGGAGAGTGGCGCCGTGAGAAGTCCTCAAGGAACGGCGTTCACCCCGCCGACGGGGTCGTATGGGAATCAGCGTACGGAACGCGCCTCCATGGGCGTCTCCTTCAACAACTTCTGGTGCCGCCTGTGCGACCGCTCCTCGAACTCTCGCGCTTGCCGCTGCGACGCCGTCTCTCGGTTCTGCTCCGCGAGATTCTCCTCGTCCTCGTCGTCGTACGCGGTCATGAAGCGATCGAGCTCGGACTTGGTCATCATCTTCGCGTTTCGCTTGTCCACGGGCGAGCCCTGGAGCATGACGCGAAGTAAAATCTGACCGAGCGGCTTGGCGTGCTCCGCGCGTCGCGACCGCCCCGTCTTGTGGTCCTCCAGCGCGTCCGCGTGAAGCTGAAACCAACCCTCGAGCTTCCACGTCTCCTCCGTCTTCGGCTCTTTGATCGGCTGGAACGTCTCTCGGACCGGCATGAGGTGACGACACGGCACGCGGCAGTAGCCGATGCGTTTTTTACCCTTCCCGGAGCCCACGTAGACGCCCACGAATAAATCCGGCGCGCCCTGGCCTTGCAAGGGCCCATCGAACGGCGTCGGCAGCGGCACGCGCATCGGGATCACCTGCACGTTGAAGTTGGCGTAGCACTCCTTCTTTCCGAGCGCCCGCCCCTCGGACTTGAGCTCCTCTCCCTGGGTCTTCACGCTGTTCAGGCCCATGGTGAGCTTCACCGATACGTTCCTCCCGACGTGACGCGTCTGCGAGAGCTCGATCGAGTATATCTGCGTGTGCAGGTAACACGGCCACTCCCTTCCCAAGGTTTCGAGGACGCTCGGGATGTTAGTCTTCGGACGCATGCCCTTGTTCGACCACGTCTCCTTCATGACCTGAAACCCCACCAGCGCGCGGCCGCGGTACGCGCTGCCTTCGACGTATCCCGCGTTCATCCGCTTCGCGAGCTTCGACATCTTCGTGAAGTACGCGAGCTCCATCTCTCGCGGGCCGCCGTAGAAGGTGTACCACTTCGGGTGCTTGTACTCGTCAGGCTTGGTGCACAGCTCGCGGAGCGTCACGTGCGTCGTCGCGATGTGGTCGTCGCGCATCATGGCGTCGTGATCCATCAGAGACAACTTGATCGGCGGCAGCGACGTTATGCCGCCCTTCCCCGGGGGCACGACGAGACGCAGGATGAGCTCTTGGTTCCAGTCCGGGGATCTCGACGACTTCGTCTTACTCCTCGCGATCTTCGACGAGCCGCACTGCATGGAAAAGTACGCGTCGATGCCGGCTTTGCCGAACCGATCCATCCGCGGAAGGTCTCTCCCAGAGTACAGAGAAGCCTTCACGATCCACGTCTCCAAAACCTCGTCCTTGGCCTGATACGCGCTCACCGCGACGCCGTCCAGCTCTTCCTTCGCGTCGTCGTCGCTGTCGTGCAGCTCCGTGTGCGTCTTCGGGTCGTCCGCGCTGTGCAGCACGGTCACGCACACGCACATGGCGCCCTGCGCGCCCTTGCGTCGGCCCTTCTTGTCCGTGAGCGTCAGCCACTCGTACCACAACTCGTGCCCGTCCTCCGCGTACACCGCCTCGAGGTTCAGGTCGCACGACCCGATGACGAGGTCGCGGCCGATGCGCGTGCGGTCGACGCACTTGAGCGTGAGCGATAACGCGGCGAGCTCGCCCTCTTCGACCTCGACCTCGTCGAAGTAGAAGAGCTGATTCCAGAGCGGATTCGACGTCTCCTTCTCCACGACCGTGCGTCGTCGCTGCGTCGGGAACCCGTCGCGTTTGAGCTTCACCTTGCCGACGACGTTCGGGAGGTCGTTCGTCGCCTCGACCTGCGTCTTCCACGACAGCGACGTGATCGACTGCCACAGCGAGAAGGCGGAGATGGCGGAGAGATCTTTCGCCTCGACGATTCGCACGCGAATCTGGTACGTCCCCGCGGGCGTCACCGTGGGCTCCTCCGCGGGCCACTCGATGTCGTCCAGACCGTGGTTGGACGCGCCCCACCACGACATGAACCCCATGGCGTTCGTCGGCGAGCGGGCGAGCGGCGGCGGCGGCACAGGCGGCGGCGGTGGACGAGGAGGGCGGTCGAGCGATCGCGCGACGACGCGCGTCGATCGAATTCGAAGCCGCGCTCCGCGCCCGCTGCCACGACGCCGCGCCTCCTCCTCGCTCCCGCCGTCGACGCCGACGGCGGCGCTTCCCGGGCGCGCGCGCGTCGACCCGCGGCCGCGCCGGTCGTCCGCGTCGCCCCGAAGCGCGAGTCCGCGTCACGCCGCGCTCTCCCCGAGCCCCCGGCGCGACGCTCTGCGAGGCCGCGGCGGGCGAATCGGCGAGTAACACCAAGGGCGCGCCGCGAGCGCGAGAGGTCGTTCGCGCGAAATCAGCTGGAAATCAGCCTGAAATCGTTGTTGATCTGATGAGTCAGGTGGCCACGCTTCTGTTCGTCACTCGCGCCCGCGCCCCGGCCATGGGGCTCTTCTCGTTCAAGTCCAAGGAGGACAAGCTCCTGGACCAGATCTTCAACTTGAAGTTCACGGGGAAGCAGCTCGGGCGGACCGCGGCGAAATGCGAGAAGGAGGAGAAGGCGCTCAAGGCGAAGGCGCGTCGTCCGCGCGCCCGTCCGTTCGTTCGCTCGTTTTTTACAGACACCTGGACGAATGAACGAACGCCGACGCGGATCTGACGCCCGCCCTCCCCGTCGTTCATCACGCCAGGTCAAGACCGCGATAGAGAAGGGAAACATCGAAGGCGCTAAGATTTACGCCACGGACTCGATTCGCAAGAAGAACGAGCAGCTGAACATGATGAAGGCGCGTCGGCGTCGCGTCCCGTCCCAGACGACGAAAAGCGACGAGCGACGAGCGAACGTCTCCCTCCCTAAACGTCACCCGCCCGCCTCGCCTCCGAGTTGAACGCGCGTCCTCTCGCTCTCGTCCTGACCGCGTCGATCCAGCCCCCCCCCGCGCGCGCCCGCGCCCCCGCCCACCGCGCCTCCCTCCCTCCCGTCGTCCACGCGCAGCTCGCATCTCGACTCGACGGCGTCGTCTCGCGCTTAGAGACCCAGGCGAAGATGAACATGGTGAACAAGAACATGGCGGGCATCGTCAAGAATCTGGAAAAGTCCCTTGACGACCTCAACCTCGAGCAGGTGGCGGCTAACATGGAGAAGTTCGAGCGGCAGTTCGAAGACCTCGACGTGCAGACCGAGTTCGTGGACCAGGCGATGAGCAACACGACCGCGCACACGACGCCGCCGGAGCAGGTGGCGCGGCTGATGCAAGAGATCGCGGACGAGCACGACTTGGAATTTAGCGCCGCGCTGCCCGAGGCTGGCAAGGCGGCGGCGGAGGCGGAGGCGGCGGCGGCGGACGAGGAGAAGGCGGACGAGCTCGAGAGCAGGATGGCCGCGCTGAGGCAGCGGAGTTGACGGAGGTTGACGGAGTCGAGTCGATCGAACGTCGCGGACGCGGACGCGACGCGATGACAACCTACCGCGACGGACGTCGCGCGCGCGACTGACGAACGAGAGAATAAAAAAATGCCGCGACGGTGATTAAAAAAACGGTAACCAACGCTCCCCGCGGTCCCGCCGTCCAGCGCCGGGCGTCGCTCACTTGAACGCGTCGCAGAGCGGATACAGAGGCGCGCATCGATTCTTGAACGCGCTCGCCGCGGGCCCGCCGTCGCCCTCCTTCTCCACGCGCTTAAACACACCCAGCGCGGCGACGCACTCCGCGAGCGACGCGCCGTCGACGACGCACGACGCCGCCGCCGCGACGCAAGCTGTACCTCCGTCGCCGCCCGCCGCCGCGATCGCCGCCGCCGCCTCCGCGGCTTCCGACGGCGACGCCGCGCGCTTCACCATGTCCTCCGCGAACGCCATCGCGCTCTTCCCGCCCGTGGCTTTCTCGACGCCCTCTTCTAACACGACGCGCACGGCGGCGTGCGTCGCGATCGCCATCGCGCCGCCGCGAGCGTCGTCCTCCGCGGGGGGCCGAGGGAGCTCCTCGACGAGCCGCGCGAGCCGCGCGACCAAGCGCGCCGCTTCGAACGATCCCGGCGCGACCGCGAGCGCGGCGTTCACCGCGCGCAACGCCTTCAGGAGCTTCCCTTTGCGCGCGTACACCTCGAACGCGAGCGCGTGCGTCTCGAGGTGCGCCCCCGCGTGTCTCAGCAACGGCTCGAGCAGCTTCGCGGCGTCGTCCAACGGCGTCTTCGTGCGCGCGAGCTTCTCGCCATTCGGATCCGGGTCCTCCTTCTTCGGCGTCGGCTTTCGCTTCTTCCCCTCCTTGGCCGCCGCGTCCGCAGCCTTCTTCAGCTCCCTCTCCTCCTCCCGCTTCTTCGCCTCCCTGATCTTCGCCTCTTTCTCCTCCGTCTTCCGCTTGTCTTTCCGGTATTGCTTCCGCGCGTCCGACGTCATCGCCGCGAGCATCGCCTCCTCGGCGGCTTCCTCATCCGCGAGCGGCTTGTCGTGCAAGTCGACGTACGTCTCGATGCCGCCTTTCGCGGCTTCCCTGTACGCGGCGCGGGCGTAGAGCGCGTCCTCTACGCGCAGCATCTCGACGTACGATCGCAGCGTCATCTTGCGCAGGCAGTACTGGTGGAAGTCGAACTGGTCTTCTTCCATGTCGTCGTAGTGCGTCTTCACGGCTTGGAAGTATTTCAGCGCGCGGCCGCGGCGGCCCGCGGCGGCGTGGCATCGGCCCGCGTAATTCTCGAACCACGCGCACTGCATGTCGTACAAGTTGGACGCCTGGTCGCCGTCGCGCGTGAACAGCGCGACCGTCTTCTCCGCTTCCTCGTGCTCGCCGCACTGCAGCAGCCGTCGCACGCAGACGCTGTTGAGGAACCGGTCCGCGAGGTCGGCGGCGCGCGCTTCTTCCCCAACCCTCGCCGCGTCTCTCAACGCGCCCGCCTTCTCCAAGAAGGTCGCCTTCGCGAGCAGGCACTCGATCTTCGACTTGGACTCGATCGCGAGCGCGGCGTCGATCGTCGCGAGCGCGCCGGCGTCGTCGCCCGTCTTGGACTTGTGGTGCGCGAGCAGCGCGAGCGCGTGGACGCGGCACGACGACGGGTCCTTCTCCTTCTCCTTCTCTTTCTCTCCATCGCCTTGCGCGGGAGGAAAAGCGCCCGTCTTTTCCAACGTCTCCGCGATGTCCTCGAACACGCGCCCCATGATCGCCGCCTTCTCGTCGTTCGCGTACAGCGCCTCGATGTCCTGGAACAGCGACGGGACGCCCTTGCGGAGCGGCTTCTCCGCGAACGCGCGGAGCTTCGCCTCGAACGCGGCGCCCGACGAGTACTCCAACGGAAACCGTTTGATCGTGTCGCACCGCGGATGCTTCACCCCGAGCTCGTCGTACAACGCCTCTAGCTTGCTCACGTCGTCCGCGTTTAGCGACGCGACGTCCGACACGTCGTCCACCCCAATGATGCACTTATGCAAAGCCCGGTGGTACTCGTGGTTATCCGGCATGCGATCGATCAACGCTCGGTACGCGTCCGCCGCGCCGGAGACGTCGCCGATCGCGAGGAGCATCCTCGCGCGCGCGTCCATCGCGCCGATCGCGTCCACGATCTTCCCCTCCCTCGCCGCGATCAGCGCGAGCGCCTCCTTAAACTTCCCAGCCTCCTCTAAGATCATCGCCTGGAACATGATGAGCTCGCTGTCCTCGTATTTCGCCATGAGAGGGTCATCCGGCTTGGCGTGTTTCTTCACCGACGTCTCGTACTTGTCGATCGCGGAGAGCGCGACGTCGTGCTTCCCGCACAGGAAGTTGGCCATCGCGAACGAGATCCAGTTCGTCTTCTGCGTCGGCTTCCCCTGCAGCAGCTGCCTTCGCGTCTCCACGAAGTCGTCCAGGTCCCTAACTTGGATCTGCAGCCACGAGAGGTCTCGCAAGATCTGCGCGTTCTGATCGTCGATGCGCAGCGCCATTCGGTAGCACTTGATCGCCTCGCGGTAGTCCCTGTCCGCGCGGTTCAGGAGCCCGTACACGTGCCAGCACACGTGCGATCGCACGTCGTACTTCAGCCCGTGCTTCACGAGCTCGTACGCCTCCTCTTTGTTCTCCGGCGTCGCGTACGACACGATGAGCCCCTTCATGCAGAGCGTCTCGCCGTGATTCGGAAACTTCTTCAGCACCGCGTCGGCAGCCTTGAGACCCTTCTTGTACTGCTTGTTCTCGTAGCATCGCACCACCTGACGGAAGAGCGCGTTCTCTTTCGCCGGGAGCTCTTTCTTGCTGCCTTGCACGTCGTCGTTCGCGGAGGGCTTGCTCGGCGCCATGGCGACGGCGTGGCGTGACGGACGCGCGGCCTGGTGCCGCGAACGATCTGGAACGGACCGGCGCGATCGGATCGGTTTTACGTGCGCGTGAACCCTAGTTTGAGGTTTCAGGTGCTGTGAATAGTGCGTTCTACAGTATAAACGTTTCTCACCCTTCGCTCGGTTTCAACACTTGATCGCATGATCGCATCTCCTTTCAATTGACCGATGGAACGACGACGTCTGGTCGGCGTGACTGGACGGATAGTTGGATCAGCTCCTCCAGTGCGTCGCGCGCCCGGCACGCGCGACGGACCGCCGCCGGAGGCGACGGCGAGCATGACGGCGCGAGACGCGACGCACGTGATATTAGACCTGGACGGAACGCTCATCAACACCGGTGCGCCGCTCCAGTCGTCTTCGCTCATCAGCTCGGGAAGGACGATGACACCGCGTCGGAAGTGCCGACACGTCTCATCAGCATCGGTCTCGTCGTCGCGCCGAACGCGCTCACCCGCGGTCCCCTCCTCCCCCTCCTACCTCCCCCTCCTCCCCCCAGAGCAACTCGTGGACGAGGTCGTCAGCGCGATCGTCCACGACCTCGCCGACCGCGACCCGAAGGCGGTCCGCGACGCCCTAGAGCGCGTCCGCGGGATGCGCCCGCGCGACGGCTCCGAGCGCCTCATCGATTTGCTCCAGCTGACGGACCCGAAGACGTCCGCGCGCGCGTCCGCGGACGCGCTGCTCGCGCTCACGGAGGCGAAGCTCAACGCGCGATGGGGCGAGGTGGCGCTGATGCCGGGCGCGTCGCGGCTCCTGCGCTTCCTCGCGGACGCGGAGATCCCCGTCGCGCTCGCGACGAGCACGCCGGCGAAGTACCTCGCCGCGAAGATGGCGTCGCACGCGGGCGCGTTCATCATGTTTACACTGGTCCCCGTACGACCGCGTTCGCGTTGTGAACGCCGATCCTTAAGGAGTTTATCTCCCGGCGCGCGTTTCTCTCCGCCCAACACCCCTCGGTTTCAATCCCGACACACCTCGGCGCCTTTCAACTCCGCCATCTGACGCCTTTGAACTCCACCCCGACGTTCGCTCGCGTGGACCCTCGACCCTCACAGGCGTGTTGGACGGCATGCGATGCGTGTGCACCGGCGACGAGGTGGAGCGCGGGAAACCCGACCCGGAGATCTTCCGCCTCGCCGCATCGCGCCTGGGCGTCGACCCGGCGCGCTGCGTCGTGATAGAGGACACGCCGCTGGGGGTGCGCGCGGCGAAGGCGGCGGGGATGCACGGCGCGTTCTATTGCACACTGGTCCCCATACGACCGCGTCGGCGTGGTGAACGCCGATCCTTAAGGACTTTTCCCGGCGTCTCTCTCCGCTCATCCCTCGGTTTCAATCCCCGCCCTCGCCGCCTTTGAACGTCAACTGACGCCTTTGAACTTCACCCCGACGCGACCCTCAGTCGTCGCCGTGCCGTCCATCGCGAAGAGGGACGATCTGTACGTCGACGCGGGCGCCGACGTCGTGATCTCTTCGCTGTACGACCTGGACTTCGCGGCGTTCTTGCCCGCGGGGTCGTCGCTCGCGGCGCGGTGCGACATGCGGAGCGATTGGATCGCGCACGAGACGCTGCTCGACCCGGTGCTGCCGCTGCCGGAGATCGTGCGCGTGGGGGGGGCGGTCGTGAAGGGGTTCGGGCGAGGGTCGAAGGTTTTGGGAATTCCGACGGCGAACCTGGACGCGACGCCGCTGAAACTGCAGGTGCAGGTTACACTGGTCCCCATACGACCGCGCTCGCGTTGTGAACTTCATTCCTTAAGGACTTTCTCTCCCGGCGGGCGTCTCTCTTCGCCCATCCCTCGCTTTCGATCCCGACACGCCTCGACGCCTTTCAACGACTCCGACTGATAGCTGACGCCTTTGGACTTTAATACCCCGACCGACGTCGCTTCTTCGCGCGGAACGGCCCCGCAGTCGGACGCGCTCGCGCCGGGGATCTATTTCGGGCACGCGGCGCTCCCGGGGGGTCGCATCTACGACATGGTCATGTCCATCGGGTGGAACCCGTTCTTCGATAACGCGCGCAAGACGATCGAGCCGTGGCTGCTGCACGAGTTCGAGTCAGGTGCGTTCTGCTATACAAACGTTTTTCACCCATCGCCCGGTTTCAACATTTGATCGCGTCCCCTTTCAACTGTATGACCGGTGAACTTATTTTGTATGGAATGGCCCTCATCAGACTTTTACGACGTCGAGTTGCGGCTGACGGTCGTCGGGTACGTGCGGCCGGAGGCGAACTTCACGACGCTGGAGTGCCTGATCGCGCGGATACGGCGCGACGGCGACGTCGCGTCCGCGGCGCTGCGCATGGAGCCGTTCGCCGCGCACAGGAACGACGCGTTCTTGACGTTCGAGGCGGGCGAGGGCGAGGGCGGGGGCGGGTGACGCGTCGATCATCTAGCATCCTACATATCTTAAAATGTGTCAAGTCGAGTCATCGCGACCCTTTCGCGACCGCGTCCGCGCGCGCTGCCCCCACTCCTCGCGCGCTCCGCGCCGCCTTCCCGAACGCCATCCTCGCTCGGTGCGCCGCCCCCGCGATCGCGTCTAAGAAACGCTCTGCGGGCCACCGTCCGCCGCCGTCGTCCATCCGTCTCGGCTCGGCTCGCGCCGCGTCCTCCTCCCGTCGCCGTCTCCGCGCCGCCGCCTCCCTCGCCTCCTCCGCCGCCTGGTGTCGCTCGTACGCCTCGGACGAGACGCTCCGCAGCGGCGCTCGCAGCGCGCGCGCGACGGTGACGATCGACGTTCCGTCTTCGTCTTCCCCCGCGTCTTGTTCTCCCCCCGCGTCGTCAGCCGGACCGCCCTCGACGTAGACGCGATGCTCGCCGCCGCCGTCGTCCGCGGCGACGTCCACCGCGACGAGGTTGAACCGGTACGCGCCGTTCGCGCGCTTCGCGTCCACGGTCACGATCGCGGACTTCCTCGCGCCGCGGACCGTCCACGCGGCGTGGATTTTCCGCGGCCGCCACGTCGGCAGCGACAACGCGAACGACGACGCGTTTTTCGTTAATCCAAATCCAAATCCGGGGGATCCTCAGAGTCA